CAACACAACTAGTACCATAATTTCCATATTCATTCCACAAATATGTGCAAAACTTATATATAAAGTTACGAAATTGCAGCACACCTTCTGTGCCTTTATCATAAATGATAATTACTCATGTATATAAGGTTACATTCTGCTGATTATTGATACTTCAGAGAGTTTATCTTTATTTATTTTGCATAACATACAGGTACTACAGTTTAACCTCAGTTTCTATTGCCTGCAGGGTAATGTAACTCAATTAAAGCCACTGGATGCAGGCACTCCTAGTGGCATATTTTGGAACAGGTATTGCAATGCTACACCTAGCTGCCTTCTTGGACTACAACATACTTTGTCTATAAAAAGTCATATCTGAAACGTTATATTTGGCGCAAGTTCTTCATTCTCAAAGTCTCAAAGTTTGGTGCAGAATAAGTCTGTGACCTTTATTTAGTTTTATACAGACTGTTGGTAGATAATTTGGCTGCTAGACTGAGTAATTATGACTCTGTATTATGTACAAATATGTCAGACTCAGGATACAATAAAGATTTAGCAAAATGATTATGCTCTGTTTTGTATTGTCCTTTTAATTTATTTATCAATTATTATAGTGTTGATTATAGTGTTGTGTTAATGACAAGTGTAAATATGACGTCACGACTTCAATCGCAGGCGATTGGTTGGGCTGATTGGTCAAGATTGCACAGCTGGTGGGTTTCAACATGGCCGATCCATGACGACACAGGTAAAAATGGCGGCCCACGCTGGCAAAAACATGACTATCTAGGAAAAGCTAACTACTAAGCCTCACCCTAAAATGCAACAATAAATAGTTTATATCATGAAGTTACTTGTAACAAAAATTATGCAAGGCCTGGAGTACACGACAGATGCAGACCATAGCTACTAGCTATAACTGAGTCAAAAAAGACAAAATGCAAAAACTACCAAAAGATTAATGTGTTGGCGCTAGAAACTAAGATATCTCTTGAACATTTTCAGTTAATATTCAAAGTTGGTTAATTATAGAAAGGCAATGACTGTTGGTGCTAACGTCCGTTCCCTTATTTGAAATTCAGTCCTATGAAAAAACTAGAATTCCGAGATCTCATACCTCCATGAAATATGATCTTGATAATATAACACAATCCAAATCTAAAGGGGAAAATCCAATTTATTCCCCTTTTTTCGTCTTGAATTTTAAAATCTTAAGACAACAAAATTTTGAAGATAAAGCTTTTAAGACTGTAATAGCAAAAAATAAAGACAGCAAGAAGTTCAGAAAGACCATCATAGTGGCTTAGATTTCTGGGGTAAGCGAGGGAACTTCCCTCGTGTGGCCAGGTACAGGTTATATTTTCTGTTTTATCCAGCCACCATAGGAGGGAAACTCCCACCTTTAACCGGTCACAACGGAATGTTTCTGTCTTAGCCGACCAAGAGGGAACTTCCCTCGGCCAGGCCGAGACGAACGGTGTTCATGCACGAAGTCCGTCACTAGCGGCGTCCCTTGCCAAGTCACACACGAGGGAAGTTCCCTCGCATGGT